AACTGTGGCTTGAGGACCCCCCACTGGCCTAGCTGAACCTTTATTTGAACTTTCCGGCACTCTGAAACTACCTTTTATTATTGTCTTTGCTCTTAAGTTTATTTATGTCTGTTATATCTATATGAGGAGCCCCAGTGGTGCAGTGGTTAGCACCTGCTAACCAAAAGATCGGCGGTTCGAACCCATCAGCTCCTCCAAGGAAAAAAGACGTGGCAGTCCGCTTCCATAAAGGTTACAGGCTTAGAAACCCTATGGGGCAGTTCTACCCTGTCCTACAGGGTCAGTATGAGTCAGCATCGACTCCACAGCAATGGGTTTTATATCTGTATGGTGGAAATACTATATAATGATGTACTACTTGCGTTTCTCTTTGGGTTTTGGAGGCCAGATTTAGATGTGCTGTTTCAGGTCATTCCTTTAGCCATCTGAGAGGTTGGCAGCTTTGAGTGTAACCTGAAGCAAGAGGCTTTCTCGTTGGTCCAGGAAGCTTGCCTTCTGATTTAGTGGATCCAGTGTGCTGGAAGCACCTGTGGCTGTCAGGGCTGCTGACTGCAGCTCAGGCATGCCCAGAAAGGAAGGAGGAGCAGAGCACAGGCCCCGAGGGCTCTGTAAACCAGCCATGAACTCTGTGGCATGTACGCTTCTCCTGTTGAGAAACAGATCCTTATTGGTTGCTGGGCACTAGCAGCCTGAGCATGGGACGATAGATAACATGTGACTGATGCCCATCATAAACTGGGGTTATCTGATCCACCAATCAATAAAGTCAAGTGATAAAAATAGCTAACATTCGGCATGCAGGCACAGTGTGCCAGGCTCAGTTCTAAGCACTTGTAATATTTCCTTTAATCCTTACCACAATCCTAGGAGGTAGTACTGTTACAATTGCTCTGATCCCCATTTAGATGAGAAAATTGAAGCAAACAGAGGATTAACAGTTTGCCCACAGTCATGTAGCTAATAGGTGGCAGAGCTTGGTTTGAGCCCAGGTCCTCTGGCTCCAAGGTCCACCTGTTTAATTACCAAATTACATCATCTCTAAGGAGCCCTGGTGGCATAGTGGTTAAGAGCGCGGCTGCTAATCAAAAGATCGACAGTTTGAATCTACCAGGTGCTCCTTGGAAACACTATGGGGCAGTTCTGCTCTGTCCTATAGGGTCACTATGAGTTGGAACTGACTCGATGGCACTTAACAACATCGTCTCTAATGATCAAATAGAAGCTTTCTATGTTGGACTGGGCCTGAGCAGAAACTGGAGACACAATAATTGCAACGGGGTACCTACTCCTACCATACTATCATTTCTTCCTCAACCTACACCTCTGACCTGATGAGGAGTCCTCTAGTTCCAGACGACTAAAGCCTCACCTACAGATGCCTGCACAGTATGTTAGCACCTGTCATGTGGACTGCTTCAACATTAGCGAGGGCTGAAGAACAATCCTTGAATAACAACAGAGAAGGGGAATTTCCCAGTAGGTAAAATTTTAAGCAATTTATCCTGTTGATCACTTTGTCTAAAAGGAGAAATAGTCTGGGGTGCCAATATCACCAGTTAATGGGCAGTAGCTGATATTTTAGCCAGTCAACCAGAGACTTGGAAGGATCAGAAATGTAGGGATGGTGACAAGGATGTTTGGGAGAAGAGGCAGACAGTGGATGTCTCAGAATGGATCCAGAGTGGGAGAATATTTGGTCCTTTGCGATGTCCACCAGATGGCCTCCATTTTGAGGGAAGCTCTCAATTATCCAGTAAAGAGGTTGATATACCCTTTGAAAATCAGTCCACTTCTTTCCCTAGGCACTCCATTGTTGCCCAGTGAGCTCATGAACAAAGTGGGCATGGTGGCTTCTGCTATACATGGGTTCAGCACCTTGGATTTCCCCTCACCAAGGCTGATCTGACTACTGCTTCTGTTGAATTATTTCATTGTCCAGCAACTGAAACCAAACCTGAGTTCCTGCTATGAATTAGGCTTGAATGTAGCAAAGCCCCAAAGCCAGGAACAACGTGGCCATGAAGAAAGTGGATTCTCTCCAGACCACCACCGCTGACAGCACCTGCTGCTCAGCACCTGAATGCCAGAATCCTGCCCCAGCTGTCCTAGTAGAGCTGGATGCCTCCTCCACTGGTTTGCAAAAGAAACAGCTCTCCCTTTGGTGCTCCCTGGAATTTGAGAATCTCATATGGTCACGTTTGATGAGTTGAAACATCAAGAAAGTCTGGGGAATGTGGTTTTAGTTTTCTAGCCTCTATAGCAGGAAGGCAAGCTAGAAAGGGTTCAGAGTGTATTGAGTGAATTAACTTATAGAATGTCACAGACCTCTTCCATCTTTCAGAAAGAGGCAGTAATTTATCTTTACTGGAATAGCAACTTACTCTAGATTTGGATTTGCTTCCTCTGCTTATCAAACTTCCGCTCACACCAACATTTATAAACTTACTGAATACTTATTCACCAACATAGGATTCCACCTAACGTTTTTTCTCACTAAGAAACTCATTTTACAGCAAATACGAGAAAGCAATGGGCTGATACTATGGAGTTCACTGCTTCTGTTATGTACTCCATCACGCCAAATAGTTTGACCTCAGAGAGTCTAATAAAGACTCATTTACTGTACCAATTGGGAGAAAATATCTCTCAAGGATGAGCTCTGTCCTTAAAGATGCAGTATTTACTCTGCACCAACAACCAATATATGGTGCTCATTCTCCCACAGTCAGAATACATGGGTTAGAGAATCAAGGTGTGGCATTGGGTTGAGCACTTGCAAACCTGTTGCTTCTTAGTTCCATCACTGGGCTTTGGTAATTTAAAAGTTTGTTTTCCAAGGGAGAAGGCTTCCACCAGTAGAAAATAATAATACCATACCCAAAACCAAACCTGTTGTTATCAAGTCAATTTCGACTCATAGCGACCCTATAGGACAGAGTAGAACTGCCTCCATAGGGTTTCCAAGGAGCTGCCAGTGGATTCATACTGCTGACCTTTGGATTAGCAGCCAAGCACTTACCCATTCTGCCACCGGGGCTCCAACAGAAAATAATAATAGTTCTATTGAATTTAAAGATGAGACTGCCATATAGCCATTTTGAACTCCTCATACAACTTGAATAATTAGAAAAAGAGAGTTGTAGTGTCAGTGAGTTGATGAATCGTTACTAACAAGTGTAAATCAAGAGTTACAGAGGAGTATTCTGGAAACCAGGGAATCCCCTGAAGTTCCACTAGTATTGCCATGTCTAATGGTAAAAATGTCCTGGATAGTCAAGGCCACCAAGGCTCAGATCCTTTAGGAATAAAGGTTTGGGTCACTCTATTGAGTAAATAATTCCTACCAGCTAAGGATGCATCTATATATATATATGTGTGTGTGTGTGTATATATATATGTATATATATACATATATATATATACACATATATATACCATATTTTTAAAAAGTTTTCTCTTCTTGCATTGTCTCTTCTCCCACTATGTGTATGTTAGTGTTGATCAAATTTGCAATGCAGTCAGTCTAGGTTACTGATTATTGAGACAGGATCATGACAGACCCAGAGCATGAAATACATCATCTAGAGATCTTGAAGATAGACGCAGTAACTGATAAAAATTTGGACTGACTCCTTTTGATTAGATGATCATAATTTCTTCTGCAGGAGTGATGGTTGCATTAATTACAGGAAGATTTCCTGTTCACTTTGGTTTTGTTTCTCAAGAGTTTTTTGTATGTAAAGAAAGGTGTATATGGATATTGGGCATTCAAGGGGCTAGTCATCCGACTCCCTATCCCAAGGCATACCTGGACTCCCTATTTTATAAGCCAGAGCTCCCTCCCACTGTAGAGACTGAAAATGTCATGTACTCATTTTCTCTGCTTCCCTCTCACCTGGCATGAACTTGGGTTCCACCAGTCAAATGCCTTGACTGAAATTCTGAAATGGAGTGGGCAGAATCCATACTAGGAACTAATTGGGGGGAGGAGTGGCAGTGGTGCTGCATCCACTTTCAGAGGCAACAGTGGTAGTGGTTCTGATGGTGGCATCCAGCATCCATTGTTGGTGGTGACTTCCATGCTAGCTACTGTGTTTGTGCTCAGGACAACAATAAAGATGTCTTCACCAGACCAGCTCTGAGGCATAGATTTCCTGGTAGTGTAGCCTCCAAATCAGGTTCCCTGGCCATCAAGATATTCTGTGGAACCCAATATTCTTTTAATAAATTCCGTTCTGATTAAATTATCCATAGTGGGTTTCAGTGTCCCTGATTGATACAATGTATATACACAGAGAAAGATCTGGAAGGATACATTCCAATGAGTGGTTACTGCTGACTGCACAGGAATTATTGGTGTTTTTTTAAAAATGTTCTTCTTTTTTTCATTTATATTTTCTAATTTGCTTAACATGAGCATTAACATTTCCATAATAAAATTTTTTAAATAAATTAAAAATACTGTTATCTTGAGTTTCCATTAAACTTTCTGACCATATGTTACAGGTACAAATTTATTATCAAGACTAATATGCCTTAAAAAGGAGGGAAAACCTCAATAAGCTTAATTCAGAATGAAAGAAAATAATTTGTAATAAAAGAGGAGAAGCGGTATTCATTCAAAACCAAGAAAAATAATACTCTGGAAAAGTGCAATAGAATAATTCTACTTTTATTTACAGTTTTATTTATTTTTACAAACAATTGATATAACTATATCATATTCACAATGATACAAAAATATGAGAAGATCATATGTGAATACAGATCTCATAGTTGATAAAAGATATAAAATATTGGTTAACTGAAGAAGAAGGTCATTGACAAATGTTTATAAGCATTAGGTATTAAATTTATGGATGTTGCTGACTCAAAGTAGTATAGCCATGGTAAGGTACTCATTAAAAATTCTGTTTGATGTTTAAAATGAGAAAGAGAAGTAGTCAAGTATGTAGTAAATAAAAAACTGTCTAACCATCTTCCCAAGATTCTTCTATGCTTCAGATACTTTTTGTTGATTGCTTTATAGGAGTCTTATTACACTCATATTTACATTCTTTCCTGATACACATCTTCTCTAGGAACTAAAAAAAGATGAGAAAACCTTCATTAGATTACCAAACAAAAATTGTACAGTCCTTTCCACCACCACTACTACCATACCCAAATTCACAACCTCACACTCTGACATATGGCCATATGCTATACAAAATCCCATGTTGATAATTTGACCATGATAGATGCTGGTCTTTGAAAGGTAGCTGAACAACATCAGAAATGCCCAGAAACAATTTATACTTGTTTCCAAGCCTGGTCCAGCCCAGCTCAACATAGCCTTGGACTGTTTATCCCTACTGTTGAAGGCCTGGGATCCATCTGTGTAGCAGAGGGAATGAAGCAGTGGGTAATGCCTAAAGGTAGATAATGCATAAAGTAGATATTGGAATGTGTATATAAGTATGTTTGCTCACGTAACACATATGAATGTATGCATACATGCAGTGTACAGTGCATTATGAGAGAAAAAGAAAATGAATGTTTACACATATATTTAAATAAATAATGTAGTACGGCATATACACACACATACCACATTTACTATAATAGATTCCCTCCTCTCTTTTAGCTGATATCTTACTGATAGAGTAGAAGTTACAGGGTATAAGAATAAAGGGTCAGAATATTCCAGGGTCTTGGGTTACAAGTGATCTCAGAGGACTCCACTGCAGCCAGGGTATCATCTCTCTTTAGTTAATGCAGATGGAAAGAATATCGCCAGTGTCTCAGGCATGCTTCCTTTTGCCCGAAATTGAACTAAATGTTCATCACCAGAATGGATAAAACCAAGAGGGGACAAATAAAAATTTTTTTTTAAGTTTATTTTGCCACTAAAAATGTTAAGGTAAAAACATGAGTCATAATAACAACCAAGAGCAAATAAGGGATGGAGATATATATATATATATGTATGTATACACACACATACATATATGTCACATAATTACATTTATAATTAAGTATATTTACATATATTATATATATAATTATATAAACAAGTCATGTAACCATATAAACAAGTCATACAAACACACTGCATAAGCATATTTATATATATATACACATACATATAATGTGGTTGCTATGAATCGGAATCTACTTGACGGCAACGGGTTTATACATATATACTTGTGTGAATCTTATATACAGATTAGGCAGTTATTATAAGTATATTTAAAAAATCTAACAAGTTTATCCTCCGCATTCTATAATGCAGTCTTCTAACCCTGTCTGCACCTCAAACGCTAGACTTGCTTGCATACTGTCTGGTTTAATTTTGAAACCTGTCTGGATTTGAAATTGGTCAATATTTCACTTTGCCAGTAAGTATAAGCTATGGCTAGTTCTATTACTCTTGGAAAACAAGAAACCCAATCTGCCAGTCCAGGAATTTCTGACCAGCTGCCTATCTTGGCTGTACCACCCCCTACAGATCCCCAGGGATGTGCACACAGAGGGCAAAGGGTAAATGCGTAACTTATTGTTAGCTACGATTCAGGTCCTAGATGCCTATCTGGTTTCCTGCTGTCCAGACGCTGGTCCAGACGCACAACTCCGGGCTGCAGACCCTCCTGCTAAATGGTCTACTTGCCAACCTCCCACCTCACTCTGTTGTGTGCTGGGGCCAGTTTTACAAGTCAGGGGAGGGGAAACCAGAAAGGGGAAAAAAACAAGGTAGAGGAGAGAGGACACTGGCAGGCCCCACAGGAAGCAAACTTTTGCCCAAGTCTGTTTTCGCTTGTACTGTGGTCTGCTCATGGTATGACAAAACTGCAATTCTCAACTCCATTTTGCCCTGACCCAAATCACAGCTTTGTCCTTAGACATGGAGGTACAGGAGACTTAAAGACTCCCTCGAGAATTTAGTGTTTCAGTAACAGAATAAGCAAGGTACACACCCTGAACACAGACCCCTTCACTTTGGTCCCATTAAGGCCAAACCCAAGGAAGGTGGGTCAAACATCAGCAGGCAGACAGCACCTCTGACAATATTAGAAACAAACAGGCAGATTAAAAAGGCAATTCCCGCACCCTAAGTGGCCCTTTTCGACCGGCGGTCTGAGTTGCGTATTTTCGTAAGAGAAGTGTTCTGATTTTGTCAGGGTGCTGACCCCTTCCCATGAACAATAGTGAGCTACAAAGACCCTCCAGCAGGTCACTCCAAAATGACTCTTTACTCACACTTGGCATCCTGTAGCCCCTGCTTAGAATGAAATCCTTAAAGGCAACCGTTCCATGAAGTTCTTCAAATAAGTTCTCCTGAAAGAGTGCCCACATTTCAAAAAACAGGTCAGCTGTCAGAAGTTTGGTTTCACGCTTGCCCTAATTAAAAGCATTTGTCTCTTTATAAAGTATCACATTTTTAAACCAGACATCCTAGGTCAACAATTCCCTAATAGTTTAAATTTATTGTTTATCCTTAATAAAAAGATAAGAAAAAAGGTAGGAGAAGGAGGAAAAGCCGGATGCTCCTTCTTTTACATTAGTTGAATGTAACCATTTTGGCAAACATCTTTACTAGATTTAGTCATCAAAATGAAGTATTTTTTGTAAAATTTTTTATGTCTTTAAGAATAAATCTTCTGAAATATTTTTATGAAGAGAACTTCTAGACATCTTAAAGCAAGATAGTTTTGTCCAGATGGCTTCACTGGGGAAGTCTACCAAACATTTAGAGAAGAATTGATACCAATACTGTTTAAACTCTTCCAAAAGATAGAGAAGGAAAAGGAAGGAATACTCCCTAACTCATTCTAGGAAGCAAACATAACCCTGATACCAAAACTAGACAAAGACACCACAAGAAAAGAAAACTACAGGCGAATATCTTCTATGAATATAGATGCAAAAATTGTCAACAAAATACTAGCAAACAGAATCCAACAGCATATTAAAAGACTCATACACCATGACCAAGTGGGATTTATTCCAGGAATGTAGGTATGGTTCAGCATTAGAAAATCAATCAACATAATACACTACATCAATTAAAAAAAAGGAAAAGAAGCACATGGTCATCTCTATGGATGCAGAAAAAGGATTTGATAAAATCCAACACCTTTCTTAATAAAACCATAAAGAAGACTGGAATAAAACAGAAATTCCTCAATATGATTCAGGGCATATATGAAATGCCAACAGCTAACATTATACTTAATGGAGAAAGACTGAGAGCTTTCCCCTTGAAATCAGGAACAAGGGTACCTGCTTTCACCACTTCTATTCAATATTGTATTAGAAGTCCTAGACAGAAGAAAAAGAAACAAAACGTATCCAGATTGGAAAAGAAGAAGTAAAATTATCTCTATTCACGGATGACATGATCCTATATATCGAAAATTCCAAAGAGTACACAAAAAAACTTCTAGAGCTAACAGAGGAATTTACCAAAGTTACAGGGTTCAAGGTTAAACAAAAATCAGTTAGGTGTCTATACACCAGCAATGAAAAATTTGAAAGGGAAATTAGGGAAACAATTACATTTACAACAGTATCTAAAAGAATAGAAATACCCCCAAAGCAATCTACAAATACAATGCAATCCCAATCCAAATACCAACAGCATTCTTTAACGAGATGGAAAAACTAATCATTAACTTTATATGGAAAGGAAAGAGGTCTGGATAAGTAAAGCATTACTGAAGAAGAACAAACATTACTGAAGTAGGAGAACGCGTACTACCTTACCTCAGAACCTACTACACAGCTACAGTAGTCAAAACAGTCTGGTACTGGTACAATGACAGACACATTGACAAATGGAACAAAATCAAGAACCCAGATGTAAATCCATCTACCTATGGCCACCTGATCTTTGACAAACGCCCAAAGTCCATTCAGTGGGGGAAAAGACGGTCTTTTTAACAAATGGTGCTGGCAAAACTGGATGTCCATCTGCGAAAAAATGAAATGGGATCCATACCTCACACCATATACAAAAACTAATTCAAAATGGATCAAAGACCTAAATATAAAACCAAAAACTATACAGAGCATGGAAGAAAAACTAGGGTCAACACTAGGGCCCTAATATATGGCATAAACAGGATACAAACCATAACTAACAATACACAAACACCAGAAGATAAGCTAGATAACTGGGATCTTCTAAAAATTAAACCCTTATGGCTCATTAAAAGACTTCACCAAAAGAGTAAAAAGAGAACTTACAGACTGGGAAAAAATTTTTTTGGCTATGACATATCCAACAAAGTTCTATCTCCAAAATCTATAGGAAAATCCAACACCTCTACAACAAAAAGACAAATAATCCAATTAAAAAATGGGCAAAGGATATGAACAGATATTTCACCAAAGAAGACATTCAGGTGACTAACAGACACATAAGGAAATGCTCACGACCACTAGCCATTAGACAAATGCAAATCAAAACTACAATTAGATGATACAATCTCACCCCAATATTACTGGCACTAATCAAAAAAAAAGAAAACAAATGTTGGAGAGGTTGCGGGAAGATTGGAACTCTTATGCACTGTTGGTCAGAATGCAGAATGGGACAACCATTTTGGAAAATGATAGAGAGCTTCCTTAAAAAGCTAGAAATATAAATACCATATCATCCAGCAATTTCACTCCCAGGAATATATCCTAGAGCAATAAGAGCCATCACACGAATAGAAATATGCACACCCATGTTCACTGCAGCATTATTCACAATAGCAAAAAGATGGAAACAACCTAAGTGCCCATCGACTGATGAATGGATAAACAAATTATGGTACACACACACAATGGACTACTATGCAACGATAAAGAACAATGATGAGTCTGCGAAGCATCTCACAACATGGATGAATCTGAAGGGCAGATAATAAAATCAAATAAGTCAACCAGAAAAGGACAGATACTGTATGAGACCACTATTATAAAAACTCATGAAAAGGTTTACACAGGGAAAGAAAGAATCTTTGATGGTTACTACGGAGGGGAGGGAAAAACACTAACTAGAGAGTAGGTAAGTGGTAACTTTGGTGAAGGGTAAGACAGTACACAATACTGGGGAAGTCAGTACAACTTGACAAAGGCAAAGTCATAGAAGCTTCACAGACACATCCAAACTCCCGGAGGGACCGAGTTACCGAGCTGAGGACTGGGGACCATGGCCTCGGGGAACATCTAGCTCGACTGGCACAACATAGTTCATAAAGAAAATATTCTACATCCAACTGTGGTGAGTAGCAATTGGGGTCTTAAAAGCCTGCCAGCAGCCACCTAAGATACATCATCTACGGGTCCCATCCCTGCTGGAGCAAAGGAGAATGAAGAAAACCAAAGACACAAGGGAAAGATTAGTCCAAAAGACTTTAATGGACCACAACTACCACAACCTCCACCAGACTGAGCCCAGAACAACTAGATTGTGCCCGGCTACCACTATCGACTACTCTGACAGGAATCACTATAGAGGGTCCCGAACACAGTGGGAGAAAAATATAGAGCAAAATTAAAGTTCACACACACAAAAAAAGACCAGACTTGCTGGTCTGACAGAGACTGGAGAAACTACGAGAGAATGGTCCCTGGCACCCTTTTAACTCAGTACTGAAGTCACACCGGAGGTTCACCTTTCAACCAAAGATTAGACAGGTCTGTAAGGCAAACAATAACACACTTGAGGAACATTCTTCATAGTTCAGTAATGTATCTGAGACTAAATGGGAACACTAGCCCAAATGCAAAGACAAGAAGGCAGGAAGGGACAGGAAAACTGGATGAATGGAAACAAGGAACCTGGGGTGGAGAAGGGAAGATCACTGACACATCGCGGAGTTGGCAACCAATGTCACAAAACAATTTGTGTATTAATTGTTAATGAGAAACTAATTTGCTGTATAAACTTTCACCTAAGGCACAATAAAATAAATAAATAAAAGGGCTATGCAGAGATTAGAAAGAGCCCTGGTGGCACAGTGGTTAAGCACTCAGCTGCTAACTGAAAGTTCAGCAGTTTGAACCCACCAGCCACTCCACAGGAGAAAGATGTGGCAGTCTGCTTCCATAAAGATTATAGCCTTGGAAACACTATGGGGCCGTCTACCCTGTCCTATAGAGTTGCTATAAGTCAGAATCGACCTGGTGGCAGTGAGTTTTGTTGTTTTTTAGGCAGAGATTGCTGCCTAGAAAGAACAATGAGGCAACAGAAACCAGGCTAGTTAGCTGGAGGAGCTGCCTGCCTACACTACAAATAGGGTTCTGGGTTGCACGCAGCTGAAGTCAACACTGCCTGACTTACACAAAAGGGAATTCTTTGGAAGGTTATTCCCGGGTCAGAGACGTGAAAGAAGGCTGGAGAACCAGACTAAGAAGAGTCAGGAGTCAGGGGAGCTCCAGAGGGTCAGGGAGCAGGCACTACAGCAAGAGATTGTGGCAGCAACTGTCTGGTGAGCACACAACTGCCAAAATAAATTAGTCACTCGCCCAAGAGGTAAAATCCTGGGAGAGAGTATCTGACTGGCTGAGTTTAGGTCACATGCCCACCTCCTGTCCATCTCAGCTAAGACAGGAGGATCTAGTCCCTTCACCTTTAATGGTGGGAGGTGCTTACCAGGATTTACCCTCCCAAGAAGACACACAAAGAGGAGACGTAATTTCCCAAAAGGAAATTGGGGATCTAACAGAAAATGGGAACAGGGGCTTGGCAAGCAAAATTGGCCCATGTCCATCAAGACTGCAGAAGCAATCACAAGGCAGAAAGGATCCTTAAGAGTTAATCTGCTTTTGTACCAAAACCAGAGCTGAACTACTCAGAACTATTATCTGATCCTGACTGTAAGAGTATCATTTAGTCTTCCATTTCCAAACTCTTCATCTATCCGTCTGGCAATCATTCAACAAGTACTTTTGTTGAGCACTGTCTTAGACTGTGTTCTCAAGAGAAGCAAAACCAGTAAAGCATATAAATATATATATAGAGAGATTTCTATCAAGGGAACAGCTCATGTGATTGTAGAGGCTGGAACATCCCAAGTCAGTGGATCAGGATAGAGGCTTCTCTCGATTCACGTAGCTGCAGGGGCTGGCAAACCCAAGATCGGCAGGTCACAGAGAGTGGGGCTCTTGCTCACAGGCTGTGAAGACTGACGAATCCCAAGACTGGCAGGCAAGACCAAAAGGCCTCTCCTGATTCATGTAGCTGCAGAAGCTGGCGAACCCAAGATCGGCAGTTTGAAGAGCAGGGCTCCTGCTCACAGGCTGTGAAGATCAACGAATCCCAAGATTGGCAGATAAGCTGGCAG